TTTAGTTTTAAAACTTGTTTGTAGTATTTAAAATAAGTCATTCGAAATTATATCGTTAAATAAACTTTTTTGAAATGTATTTTGAAGTAAAATTATCATGCAAACTAATAGAATAATATATAATGATACTATAATAAGTTATTTGATACAAAAAAAATTAAATAATTATTTAATTTAGGTGAAATGAGAGCTCCCAATCTTCGGTATATATAAATCAATTACTTGTTATTGGAACTATGGATTTTTTTTAGCCAATATGAACTTTAATACGACTCATAGTTCGGTACAGAGATCTTAGGTTTTAATGATTATAGCTCTTAGACCAACTATAAGTAATAGGTATCACTATCTAGTTCAACTAACACTTCTTAAATTCAGAACATTCAACGTTATGCTGGTAACAAACGTATCAAACTTAATTATACAATGTTCGATAAAAACTACAACCGTCTCATCTAAGTCGTACCTTACATGTCTCTCAATTTACCTGATGTAATGCTTTAGGCTGTTTCGAAATAGTATTTAGTTTGGTCTAAAGGTCTACAACATGAAACCTACCAATTATAAAACCAAAGAATACAAACAATGATGCTGCCTCTAAATTTCCTTTTGCGAGATAATTAAGCCATTATTATTCTATGAATGTCACATTTACTTACTACGTTATTTGAACACAAGACTGTAAATTAATGTGACACAAAAGTTTTAACAAACCAAATAACCATATATATTTGCAATATTAGTATGCACTACCCTGAAGTGTCCATTTTTTAATTATGTGTAACATAATAATATGTCTAAAAATTAAAAACAATGAGTGCGTAGATACATAATTTATAATTTTCTGAAGATCATGTTTTTGAATTCCATTTTTTTTCAAAATGTAAATTGTGGTGAACTTAAATGAGAATACAATAATTTAGCATTTTTTAAACATATCGATTCTAATCCCCTCGAAAAATAAAGAATAAACGATGTTGAAAAAATTTTATTTGCTAAATTTTTAAGTTAAAAATATTAAACATTTACAAATAAATTGTATGTCAATAAATATAAGAATATATTATGAATAATGAATAGAACGTAACATATTCTATTTTCTTATTCTTTTTTTATTTTGTGTCATTGTTGATGGATGCTAAATTTGAACCAGAATTGGTTGAAGACAAGTGGATTTGTGTTTCTTAAAATGTCAAGAGAAAGATAAGAGAAAAATCCTAAACACTTGAAGGGTATTTTTTTCTGTTCACAAATTCGGACCTGTCACCGTGACAAAAGAATACTTCAGGTTATATTCATTGAGATTGTAATTTTCGTCCGATTCACTAAAAACATCATATAATACGTCATACGAGGTGACTACATTAAAGCCGTCGGAACAATATTATATTATTATATTATACAAAATTCAAATGATCAGTGATTGTTACAATTATTGTTTGAATAATATGATTCATCGTATTTCTATTAATGTCTAGTCAAAGCGATAAAATCTATCTATTACAGACATACATATATGATATATCTATTAACATGTCATAATATGAACTATACTATACAGTTATGCGTAAAATGTGATTTTTTATAGATATAAACAGTACAAAAACATGAGGCACATCGACCTCTTATTTGATTAAGTATCTAGTCATGTAGTATACAATTAATTATGTGCCTACTTCAGAAAATAAAAATTGATGAGAGTAAAACAATATGATTATTATTACAATGATATTGAATGAAAGATAGTTATTGATAATAATAAAACCACTGATTAAAATGGTTAACACGATATTGAATAGCTTAACAAATTTATTTAGTTGATATAACCTGTAACGCTGGGTATTTTATATAAAATAGGTACAAACATGAAATTCTTATATACATGAATTTATAAAACATTATCCATATAATATATGTATATTATATTACTCACATCATAATGTCTTTGTTTATATAATATTATCTATTTGGTATAATATATTATTACTTTATATATTTGAACCAATCACATTAATGATAATAACTGACAATTAACAGTACTTGTGTTTTTAGTTAATTTGTATTATAATTTACGAGGATCTGAGTTTTCGGTGTGTTTTTAAATTTAATGTATTGCCATAATAATATGTCTGATGTGAACAATCCGACCATTATAATAATATATTAATTTGTATTAAAGAAGAAGAGGAAGAAAAAATATAAAGGTCAATCTAGGGTTAAAACAAATTGCAATCAATTAAAAATTTTACTTAACTAGAGTCTTTTCGGATTACTCTCACAAAGTTATTTTAATACTTTAACAAAAAACACTAAATAGGTACAATATTTAAGAGGTCTAATTCAATTACAATTATTTTATGGGTACTAATATATATTACACTATAAATTATTCGTTTTAAACTGTATGTTACTCTTGGGGTATGCTTAATTTTATAAAAGTTCTATACACAAAGAATATTATTTGTTTATTTTAAATACGCCTATAGATGTTTTTCCTAAAGTTAGTTTTCACACTATACATGTTTATCCACATTATGCAAATTTAACTGAATTAATTATAACTAGGAGAAAGTATATTATTACAATATATTTTCTACTTGTGGATTCGTTCTACTCGGTAAAATAATTAAACAAAGCACTTTCATTGTCACTGATATTTAACGAAATTTCAAAATTAAAACTACTCGGAATCTTAAAGGTAACAAGGCTATTTTGGTTAGCATCGTTCCATAGAAAAATTAAGAGAAAATTAAAAGGATTTTGAAGCAGTTATCATTAATATTAAAAAACATGTTGGTAACTATCTATACCAAAACACTAAAATATGAATTTACTACACTAAAATATGCTTTTCTTTGTAACATAAAGAACAAATGTCTGTGCCATTCAGTAAACATATGTCCAAACATAAAACACATTACTCTTCAAATAGTTATTCATTCAGACTCTAAACGTTCAATATTACAATTTAATTATATGTATTATTAATGCCGTTATTATGGTTTTTTTTATCGCATAATTATGTGATGTATACTCGAAATAACATCATCAATACGTCAGGCATTGAATATACTTTTGTAAATATTCAGAACTTAACAAACTCATTGAAATACTTAGACTAGTAAAAAAAATGAAAATTAAACGTGCTGAACAATACATTTTTTTATGTCTATTTAAGAACGGAACTACTCTAATAATAATAAAAAAAAACATAAAAAACATTGTATATTTTAATACAGATTTTTTTTTTTAAAGATGCGTAGGTGTATTTTAATTTATATGTACTACGCAAGTAGGTAGGTTAATCATAAATGATTTTTTGTTAATCAAACAAAATATATTTGTATTTATGTATGGTATAAATTATAATGACGTCAAGCATGTGACACGCACATAACTATTTCAAACATTTTCTTCTCAGATAAATTTGAAAGATCACATTGTTATTTTTGTTAGATACCTACATAAACACGTAGCTTAAAAGGCCAATGAAAAAAAAAAATTGGTTTTCGTAAAAACTTCGGGTTTTCCTTAATTTTTTATTTGTTCTTCCCGCCTCTATCGAAAACTATTGAAATTTTTTTACATCTGACCCACTCAAATTACCAACTGGATTCCCTTTCCTATACCAGAAAAAATGCTTTTGAAAAAAATCGAAAAACTTTTACTTTCTCAAAACGTAATGACAGATACACAAAAAAAACGCACATTGTAAAATTAACATTCATCGCCTCACTCAGAATCTAAAAAACAGAGTAAAATAATCGTTTAAGTCACACATTTTGGAATAAATAACCATATATGATATATATATACATATTATGTATCATAAGCTTTCCATTAACGTTGATATCCTGGTATTTTTATATATACGTATCTTTGGTGGTATATTGTATTTTACGTAAACAAAAAGTAACGAAGTATAAACTAAAAAAAAAATTAAAGCGTGTTCTGTGGAGAAAAGCATTTTCAGAAAAAGAATTGGATATTTTTAGGAACGTAGTTACGGATGAAGGAAATGAGAGAAACAGCTTTAGGCAATTCATCTTCTATATTTCTTAGTTTTTATGTAGTGTTTTACGTAAACATAATAAATGACAAAACCAATTATGTTTGAATTACAGTAGAAAATGTGTTTTTTTGTTCAGTTTTTATTTACATCATCAATGTGGACGAATACTTAATGAACTATTTTTATGATAATATTATGATAGAAGTTATAGGTATACACTTCAATAAATACCAATTTCAAAGTTATTTTTAAATGGTCATTACACTATACTGTGTGAATAAATAAAACAATTAGTTTTAAAAGTTGTATCTTCTGGCTACTGGTTGTATCATGGTGGCTGCTATTAGCTACTACAGCTTGTTAGGTTAGGTTAGATAACAGTTTGTGTGAGTTTTGCAAGGAAATGTAGTATGCGAATATTGTTCAATTGAACCATTCTATATTATATTTCTATCTGTATTTAATTGGATTTAATTAAACGGGTTTACTATCTATATATTAATTCGTTTGAAAAATTTTAACCAAATCGTATAATTCAAAAATGTTCAATCATTTAATCGTTTCAATAATTTTAGACATTTAATTGATCAGTGATAATATACTGATGTAGGTCGATACATCTTAAGGCATACGCAGATGTTATTACAAAGTTTACGTATCGATATAGTTAACCGTATGTCATTTTAACATAAAATCATGGCCCATCATGGGTTTAAAACAAGTAATAACAATAATATCTATTCGAATATCATATACTAAAAGTAGTTTATTTAATGCGTGTTTGCAGGAATCGTATACGAACGTGTGTTGTTTTCTTTTAAACATATGGGATGACAATATCAAGTGTCTCGTAGTATATTGTTAATACGAGTATAATAATATGACAATCGCATAGACGACATCACATATAGGTACTACGACGACCATTCTTGCGTGATTTTTAAGGGGGATTTTTTGATTGATAATCATATTGTTCTGTTCGACTCACCCAATATGCCGAGTCTGTAGTTCAACGTGACCACGACCAATTCCGCGTTGCTGGCCAACACTCGTCCGTCGTAAGGGTTGCCGGAATTCCACTCGTACGATTCCCCGTGTATGAACACCAATACGGGATACTTTCGGACGATTCTGCTCCCTGAAACAGGCAACGGAAAAACGGGTGTCATTGTGATTGTCTCGTTTTCGTATAATTCTACCGCGGACAATGCGGTTTTCGTTTTTTACCTACGCACCCTATCCCCGGAGGAAGACTTACCATCTACATGACTAGATCGCCGCCGCCGCAGTGTCATGACGTTTCGGTTCAAGGCGAATATTATAATATATTACTGTCGGTTCGAAATTTACTATAAAATTCACGGTTTTACGATAATGCCAGCGTACCTGTACGGCGGCGAGCTATCCGTCTATCTATCTATCGACGTCTCAGACGGCGGCCGCCGCCGCTTGTGTATTTATTATTTTTCAATTTTACCTCCGCAGCGGGTTCGCCCGCGAAAATAAGCTGCCCTTAAACTTAATACGCATACACGCATACGTATATAGCACGAATACGGTTGTGTTTTTTTTTCCGATAAAAAATAACTCGTCTAAAACTTTACGTTTATATAATACAGGTGTAGTATATGTATATATATATATATATATATATATATAGGTGTACCTCTCTACTTACACGTTTTATATATTTGCAAATTCATAAACATAAACCGTATACGTAGTAGGTGGTATCCTCTGTGCAGATACTCCCGGATCGAGCAAAGCCATAATATTATATTGTGTATATGTATATATACCTACCCTCAGGTACTATATTCGTGCGTTGAAAAACATAATATGAATAATGGGATGAATAAGTAACGGGCGGCAGAGACCTGCGAGTTTTGAGATACGGAGGAGACGTATTTTACGATGATGGGTTTTTTCTACTTATGCGCGGCGGCTGCAGTGTGTGTACAGTGCACACTATACGTCTAAGTAAGTCGAACATGCTGAATATGAACTAGGTTTAAATGAATTCCACTCGAACACGACTCGGGCGAACCTCGCGTAGACTCTTGTAATAATAATAATATGTGAGATTTGGATATAATATGAACAGCGCCTGAGACGAGACCATTATACATTTAATATATATTATAAAAATTGAATTACTCTTATATGTAGGTCGAGCATAAAAAATGGGATGAGAAAAACTAAAAATCCTAGCGGTAGGTACTCATACACATATCCACGTTTCATTATAATATATTTTTTTGCCAATCGACAACGCTACGTTACTGGATTCTGTGTGTTGTGTTTTGTGCTTATCGCGAACATTGGTGGAATTCGTATGCATCGGCGGAACTCGAAATAACACTAGTAAAGTCTCATTAAAAATATTTAAACAATTCCAATTACGCGTGGGTCACATTTCAGAACCCTCTCGCGTACACATATTTGCATATATAAAATGTTTTATAGGTATGAAGGTAGGTTAAAAATATGTTTTATATATTTACAGGTGGTTATAATATTTTGTTTTCGTAAAGCTCCGCGCCAGCATTATTTCAATAAATTATGAGTGCTAACAAATTGATATTAACGAAACTTCGAAAGCCAACTGCTATTAATATATATAGCCACTCTATTGCTTTTCGATTGCGTCAAACGTATACCTAGAAACTTTTTTTCAATATCGTGTCAAACATAACTCGTATACACTGTATACTCGTTGTGCACTTTCGCCTACTTCCAAAATTCAATATTGAAGTCATTGGAATAGTTTTCGAAACGTTCAATGACTTGTCCATTATTTATAGGCGTTCAACGAGGTCACGCGACATTAAGAAACTTTTGCCGTTTACGTTTTCAAACTTGTTATGTATTATGTTTAAAAGGATCTGAAACGTTCGAGTAATAATACACTCACATACTTTATAAAAGTTGAGGTATAAATTTGTAAAAAAAAAAGAGACCAAATAGTTGCACACACGGAAAAAATGAGGAATTACAATTAAAATCGATTTTCATCAAACGTTACATTATAATATTTATATATATATTATATAGTAAACATAATCTACGCTAAACACACTTATATATTATATATACCTACTATAATATTATTATTAATGCAAAACTAAATTCAAAATTGCACCCGAAACCAGGTTTATGGTGCTCGAAACGGTTAGGTATATTACGACGTGTTTTATAATGTAATGTTTAAGTCTACTTAAACTCGGGCTTAGATCAAACTCGCGAATCTCTCATCCCCCTCCCCTGCACCACCGTGATTTCAAGTGTGCAGGATTACGACTGGGCCGACGCGCGCAACCCGCTGTGTATTATACAATATATACATATATTTATAATATCGTATTACACAATAATTTTATAATAAATAAGCGTGTACGTTGTTCGAAACCTCCGAAACACGAGCGCTTAAAATGGTGATGGCATAATTTAATAATCGCATAACAACAAATGAATATAGATTTGGTAGGCTGAGCTTTCGATTTTTTCCTCCTTCCGTCTCCGTCTCGGCGGTAGTCGCCGAACGCTATCGCACGGCGTATAATACCCGTGGAAAGCGCTCGAAAATGATTTTATTTCAACCTCCCCCCCCCTCCTAACCCTCGGTAGTGCGTCCCAAATTTCTATACATATATATGTCTTACATGTACTGTGTGTATAACGTAGTTGCGCTTTTTCGCGGGCTTCGGACGACGGACAAGCTGCCGGCGTTGCAGTATACGTGAGTGGGTGGGTCGGGTGCGGCAGAGCTACCGCTGCACAGGGTCGAGGAACCACCGACGAAAAGGATTCCATGTCTGTATATAATATTGTTATACTAACGGAAAGTTACAAGTATATATACCTAACCGATAGGCTATATATAACCCATAGGGTATGTATAAACATGTACTATGTACATCTCGCGGACGATTTATTAATCAAGGAAAACGCTGGTAGACCGGTCGGTCGGCGCTGTTCTCCGATTGCGGACGGGAAAGTATAGTCACGGAGGAGAAGAGGTGAGATTAAAACTTTACCCAAACACACTCTTCACACATATATATATATATATATAATATGTATACGATACATTTATATACATATACATACACACAGTTTCGGTCCTGGCAGGGCCTCGTGTCCATTTTGGGATCGCGTTACGTCCATGGCACAACAATAGAACATCTGTTGCCGTACACAGCACCACATTAGGTCTGGATTGCGGTGGCTTCGGCGTGTGCCCTTAACCGGCGTGACCCAGTGTTTTGCGTTTTGTTTGGAAAACACAATATACACACATAATATACATTATACATGTAATATGTATATTATATATTATGCTATCGGATTAACATGATGCTAAACCGTTAAGACGTGCCCGGTAGATGTGTATAATCGCACACAACGGCGCCGGCCGACGAAACTGTGAGGATTTACCTGCTCGGTGTCCCCTTCCTCCCCCCCCCCCACGGTTGGATGACGTGCGAGGTAGGGGATGATCGTCTCTACCCACCGCAGATGGCACAAGGACGTGTCGGGGTCGTGGGAACGAAATTATGCTGTGGTTTTACGACGAGCAATAATAACATGTGTCGCATACGCTCAAAAATCGTGTGCACTGATGTCACGACGACGACAAAAACAACAACAACGATGATGATAACAATAATAATAAAATTATGGTATTATATAATGCCATACGAGTTACGATGGGCGCATACACCGATCCGTACGGAAATGGAGGTATCGATGATGATTAATGTATATGCCAGTGGTTTTCAAACTTTTACTATACGGTACACCTCGAAAAATCTTCACGGTACACTGACAATTTTTTTAGATGGACAATTCAATGCAATTGGCAATTTATGAAAAAACCACGGCACACCTCGTGGATACTCGGAGCCTCCAGTTTGAAAACCACTGGTATATGCGATGATAAAATGAATATTGTTACGGTGTAAAGAGAAAATTATTGTTTGTGAATTGCGTATTATACCTATTTTAGGGATTTCAAGTAACAATAACAATAATATGACTAATGTAAATATTACTTTTATTCTTATTCCACGTGGCAGCTGATATTCTCCCAATGCTTGCCGAAAGAAGTGTGCGTGTACACAGTCGTGGTCGGGGAAATAGCGTCACGGCGTGATTACGGTTTTCCTGTTAACTCGAATTTCAAACGAATATTGTATAGGCACGTAATTTGCAATGGAAAAAATGAATAAGCTTTGTATTATAATATATTCAGAAATTCTACGGCGATAACAAAGTCTCACGCGCATTATTATAAAGGCGTAAACATGAACAAACCACGAGTGATTTATGTGCAAACGATGATTATATGATAATAAATTAATAATTATTATACGAAAAATACACAAAATAAAACGATTTACAAACATCGTACACCTACCTACGATAATAAACAAAGAAAAGTCTCTCTCCGAATGTTTACGAAAAGTATATTTTTTAAATCGATATTTGCGATGACGTAGTATTATTATTTTCGATTTGCGCAGTAGGAACTTTCCGTAAAATAAATACTAAGATCGCATGATATATAGGTGCTCAATTTACGGATATAATTTTATGCACGGGGTATACGATTTATTTCATAATTATTTCATCAGTGATATGTTACCGAGATTTTTTTCCACTCTATCGACATCCCCTTTTGAATATTCCTCACTTCTCTATTTTCTGGCGACGTCTTATCGACACTCGGGCTGATTAATGGCTTCCAGAACATATCGCTGTCATTAGGAACCCTTCTCTCACTTTTCTACTGACAACACAATCTCGACATTAACGCGAAGTCTGAGTTTTATCGAAAACCACTCAAAAAGCTGTTAAAAAGTTACATCCTATTCGTATCCAAACATGCGTCAACAACATCTTACAAACATTGAAACACTTCAACAAATGTAACAGACAACCATAGCTGCAGTAGTGCACTATGGTCTGGTAAAATAGCTGACATTTTAATAATTTTAAAGAACAGAATTTCACATTTTTGCATACAATAATGTATTATTTAATTAAAATTTTCTTTATTATATTGGGTGTTATTGTTATAATTTATAAAGACAGTTGTACTTTTTGAGACACTGCTAAGGATAATGACGTACTGTT